TTAATATGAGAAAATGGAAAAATAGGAACAAAATCTTTGTAAATAGGGAGGAATGGAGGGCTTGAAGGGAGGGCTGGGCAAGAGTAAAGAATAAGAACCAAGAGAGATTATGTAAAGGTGCAAATTTCCAATGGTGAATGTCATTATATTTTATACCTGAAATGTACCCATAATTAGATTGAATAATTGATAATGCAAAATAGGAAGAAAAAGTCCAAAGTGGTAGGGGCAGTGGGAGGGGCAGGGGAAAGGAAAGAAGGAAAAGAAAAATTGATGGGAAATACAAAACATGAAAATAAAGTCTTTGTAAATAGGGAAGGGTGGAGTGGGTGAAAGGAGGGCTAGGAATGGGGAAAAAATAAGAACTAAGATGCATTATGTAAAGGTACAATTCTCAATGAGAAGTGTAAACGTGTTGTATACCTAAAATGTACCAATAAAAGAATTTAACAAAAAAAAAATAAAAAGAAAAACCTGTAGGTACAACTACTGGGTTTGAACCTATAATTAAAGTAAAAAATGAATGCAAAAAAACCACAATGTTGAAAACTTAGAATGAATGTGAATCTCACTAGATGTTCAAATCTGGTGTAGTGCAAATTTTGCTTACACTATTTTACATTTTTACAAACTCAAATCACTTTGGTTCAATGTATCTGCTATAAACTATTGTCAAAAAACATTCCACAGATTCACATTTTTTGGCTACATTTTTCTAACAGATACAGATTTACTTCCAGTTTAAGAGAAAAAAAACCATATTGTTTGTGCATGATCAAGTATATTTGAAACATTCATATACTGCTTTCATCTAGCAGCCTCTGGTTTTCATAATAGGCCAATATTTTCACTGAAAAATGTTTTCACATAACTGATCATTTGTTTTCATTTTCAGAAAACTTGTAAAGGATCACTGAAAAGTTCAGGGCAATTAATTTGCTTTTAAACAAAATTCCTCTAAAACAAATTAGCTTCAGAAACCTAAAATTTACTCTAAGACATTTCCTCAAAATGAAATAAACAAAACCACCCCCCATAAAGGAAACCATAGACATTAGTGCTGGCAGCCGGGCACTCCTCACTCCCATCCTGCTGACCAGGACTTCTGCTTCAAAGGAGTCTTTGCATCCATTTAGAATAAACCAGAAACATTTAAGTTGCAAAATACAAAGAGGTAAATTTGTAAGTAAAAATGACTAGACCCACAAAACTGGAATATGTCAAAGGACTGGGCTCAGTGGAAGGTCTGATGGTGGAGGGACTTTGAGACTGAGAAGTATTGCTGAACTGCCTCCCTGTGGCACTGAAATGAATGGAGAACCCTTCTCTAGAGCATCTCAGACAATAAAAAAAATAAATATTTAAAAGGATTCAACGCTCAGCTTGGTTTTCATGTACATTGCATTTGAAGTTTAAGACCCAATACTTGCAAATTAAGTCTAACATGGTCTATGCCATTAAATGAATACATTGTGCTCACCAATGTTTTCAAATGTTTAGAAACATTATGCAGGCAATGCAGTGACACATGCACTCTTCTTTTTACATGGCAATCACAGATTGCAAGTTCCATTGTGGAAAAAATAGTCCTCTCTACTCTGGAGTCACAGAGAAACAATTTTGGTTCACTGAGACTAAAATACACAGCAGACAGTTATTCACTCTTTGATGATTAGAGATTGTGGATAAAACATCACAAACTGAGGTCAACATTTCATGATCAGTGTATGATTATGACTTCTCACTGCCTCTTCCTCTCATATGATTATCTACACAAAGTATCACAGGCAGAACACAAAGCATGGCCTGCTCCCCATGACATGCATGTGTGTGTGACTGCAGGGATGAGTACTGTGCCACAGCAGCAAGTATGACCATGAGCTTCTACAATGTGATCCCCTTGTTGTGCCACCTCCCTACACTCACTGTTGCACCTGTTTTGTTTTTTCTTTTTTCACACAACCCTATTTTTAAAATTTTTTGGATAAATATTCCTATTACACCATACTTCATCTTTGTTAAGCACCATCAACCTATTTCCTTTGGGCACTGGTACAAACTGAGAGTTGGTAATTAAGTTTTAGTTCAAGGCTTTAAAATATGGCAACTTGTTTTTAATAAAAGGAATGTGATCTAATACTTGGGGAACTGCCCCTGCTGGGTGCTCACACAGCCTGGGACAGGGCGCTCCAGGGCATGGGTAGGAGCCACATGCTCGGTCATGGTAAGACTTCCAGGTAAGCACTGTCTCCACTTTGCTATTCTAGACATTTCTAGGTGGACATTTCCTCCGGAGTCATGTGTACAGTCAGGCCAATCTAAATAGAGTATTTAGGAGAAAGTTTGATTATCTTCATCACAACCCACTGTCCCAGAGTTTCTTCCCAAATCTGGTTTCTTATTCCTCGGAATCAGTGGGTATGAAAGCTCAGTCACTATGGGGCTTTTTAGGAACACCCATAGCTAACTGACACCCTATGTTTCCCACTGTGACACCTCCTGAGAAAAATATGCATGGGAGCCATGAAAGAATATAGAGGAAATCGTGGGATGTATACTGATAGACACTGTTATATGCAAGGAACTGGGTGATGAGTGTTGCCAGGAAGGCGATGGTAAGCCCCAGCCCAAGGCCACTTCTGGAGCAATCAAATGTCCACCAAAGGCCCAAGAACAGGGCTGCCAAGGTCAAGGACAGGTGGACATTATTGGCAAAATCCAATTTAGCACTGGCATGGTTAATGCCAACAAAAACCGAGATACAGCGTATGATGCTGGCCCACTCTCTCTTGAACTTGTGGGGCTCTCCCAGGTGACTGTCAATACAGGGGTACAGTAAGCCGACAACAGCAGTGGCCATCCTGCAGCATGGTGGCACACACCAGGCTGAGTAGAAGATGGTGGCGATTACCTCATCCGGGAAGAGCGTGACATTCCTCTGGTTCTGCAGCAGGTTGAGCCCCAGGGTAAGGACAACCCTGACCTAGAAAAGCACAAGGCTCCTCTGCACCAGGTTGTGGTGCCTGCTGCTGGCCCATGGGCACTGGAACATAGGACTGGAGTCTGGGGCCCTGAGGCCGAAAGGCGCAGGAGCAGCCAGCATGCCTAGCCGCGGGGCAGCATGGGCTCATGGGGGGCTCGGGTGCTGCAAGGTTCAGGGACAGCTCCAGAAGTGGTATGGCAGCCTGGGGATCAGTGCATGCCATGCTGAAGATCTTGCCAAGGGGCGCCTGCCCATGGCCAGCAAGTGAGCGAGTGGGCGGCCAAAAGTGGGGCAGCGGTGGAGACCCGAGGAAGAGGAGGAGGAAGAGGCTGTGTACCCGGCTGGGGTGCCTGGAGGTGCTCCACTTATATGGAGGGCAGTGGCCCAGCACCACGTGACCCGGCCCGGCCTACCCACCACTTATGCACACCACAGAGACTACTCTATTTCTTTTTATTGGTGAATTGACACTACAAACATTGATGGTTATAACGGACATGTATTGCCTTATCTTTGTCCTGACTTTTTCTTTCTGTTGGATTCTCCCCCTTTGAATTTAATTTCTTGTCTTGCCTGATGGATTCATTTTTCTGGGCTTCCTGGGATTGTGA